CACTTCTGAATCCTGCAAGTCTCTTCTATCCTGTCCATAGCCAAGTGCGGCCTTCCATGCCAACCTACTTCCTTCTTCCCTGATGTATTCTTGCCCCTATAGACCCCTGTTGAGTATGACAGCCACTAGCCACATGATGCCACATTAATGAAAACCAATAAAGGTTGAATCAAGCAGTCCACACAAGTCATCGTTCAAGTGCTCAAAATAGGATGAGATAAAGAACATTTCTGTTATCACCCCAAGACAACCCAGCCATGGTCCATGCCTCTCCTTACCTGCCTCTTGGGTCATCTGCCTATCTCAAACACTGTTATCTCCAACCCATCTTCCTGCATACTTTACACTGTTCCTGGATTGTCCAAAATACACACTACAATGTAAATACTATATTAGAAAGCTTATACTATTGTTTAAGGAGTGGTGACTGAAAAGCCAGTGTGGGCATGCTCAGTATGGACACTCTGTTGTTCTTTTGGTGTGCTGAATGTGTCTATTCGAAACTTGCAGAGGTGGAAAGCCAACTGAACTTCAATTCGGAGACCAAGTCGTGAAGATCCTTCCCCATTAACTTTTAATCCAGTATCTCAACACAAAACCCTCTCTCCACTCTAACTTGACCATACCTTATTAGGGAATGGGACAGAATTCCTTTCTGAGGTACACAGTGACTCTTGTCCCTGCCTAAGTAAAGCCTGCCTGCCTATCTATCTATCTATCTATCTATCTATCTATCTATCTATCTATCTATCTATCTATCTACCTACCTACCTACCTACCTACCTACCTATCTGTCAGCAGCATCTATTTGTCCTAGAGAAAAAGCTCAAAGCCACCCAAGCGACAGGAGACCTTTCTCATCAAGTTCCTAGCTTATCGCCTTCACCAGCCCTGGGTTACGCCATCCCTGTCCCACCCCACTTCCCACACCAAGATCTCAGGATCCTGGATGCTTTACCCCTGTAGGCCCCCCTGTCTAAAAGCACTCTTTCCTCTTCCTGTATATCGTCACAATCTTATTTATTCTCCGCTCAGGACACAGGTGGCCATTCCCCAAGTCACTGTTGTCCCGGCGCAGACTCCATCACAGATCTCGCCACACTCAACTTCAGTGTCCCCATCGTATTCCCATTACCCACATGGGGCACCAAGAAGGCTGGTGGTGTCATAGGATCTGATTTATTCATTGGCCTCGCATTAACAATAATGGCCATTAATCTTATAGGGTTCTGGAGGAGATGGAATTAGGCCAGATGCCAAGACTTTCCTGCTAAACCACTTTTAATTAAACGACGAGACAGTGTCATATCCTCTAAGCGCAGGGGTTTTCCAAACTGATTTGTGACCCATAATGGGCAATAGAATCAATATGCTGGGTCATGACCAAATTTTCATAAAGCATGGTGTGGAATAGAGAATATGGGAATGTGTTACATACGTTTTCCCACGAAATTTTTGTCTCAGCTATATCTATGCATATGCATGTGTGTAATGGGCCATAACAATAAAGTTATCTCTTGTTCTGGCTTACAGTCACAGAAATGGAAACGTCCCTGTTCCCGATGGTGCCGGCTTTCCCCGAGGCAGACAGACAGATTGCGCTGACTTCAGAGCGGTGAGCGCATCACCTTAAGATAAGTCGGTTTTCAGTTTTGTCTTCAGTTATTCTATAATTTTCAGAAATGTCTTAGTCTTTTAAAATTTTGGGGCTATCAAAATTATTACAAAGGATACTGTTTTTGCATATATGTGTGTATGCATCTGGCTATGGCCTGGAAGCTCAGAATAACAGAAGTGCTAAGGAAATGTCAGCGGGTGTAACTATCGTGGAACGGTTCTACCACTTTCCCAAAGGAGGCATTCTAGATTGTTGGTATGCCCATCTGTCTATGTATCCTTGATGGTATGCCCATGTATTTACCTATCCTTGTAGGTATACCCATGTATCTACCTACCCTTGTTGGTATGCCCATCTATTTACCTACTCTTGTTGGCATACCCATCAATCTACCTATCTTTGTTGGTATACCCATCTATCTACGTATCCTTGGTGCTGGTCCTCAGGCACTGTCCACATGTCCACATTTTGTCTGAGATGGGGCTTCTCGTTACCCTGGGACTCTTCCCCATAGGCTAGGCCAGTGGTTTTCAACCTTCCTAATGCTACGGCCTTTACTACAGTTCTTCATGTGGTGACCCCTGATCATAAAATCATTTTTGTTTCTACTTCAGAACTGTAATTTTGACACTGTTATGAATCATAATATAAATATCCATTATGCCGGATATCTGATATGTGACCCCTGTGAAAGAGTTGTTCAGCCCTAAAGAGGTCACGATCCACAGGTTGAGACCTGCTGGGCTAGGTGCTAGCCTGGTGTTTCCAGGGATCCACCTGTCTCTATTTCCTGAGTCACTATTGTTAGGATTATTGGCATGTACCATGGTACCTAGCTTTATCCATGGGCTCAGGGGATCAGAACATGGGTTCTCATTTTCGTGAGGCAAGTCTTTTGACCAAGACATCTCCCTAGCCCTGGTGTTCCAGATCGTGGGCAGACTCTTTAACACGGTTTAGAGATGCGGTGGCCCCTACAGAAACTCTACAGATGAGGGTAAAACATCCACTTTCTTTTGAGCCCTGATGTGGAGAAACTCTCAAGGGCAGGGCTGTGGTCACCTGTCTTGGTATGGCCTGGGTGCTCGGGAAATGTCATCACCATCTGTGGGGTAGTTCTGACACTTTCCAGAAGGACTGCTAGCTTATTGGTATTTCATGTCCATCTATCGCTCCAGCTACTTGACCACTGAGGGCAGGAGCTGTGATAACACATTTGGCTCCATGTCCAATGGCACACACACACACACACACACACACACACACACACACAATCGGCGTCACTGTATCTATGGTGGTGGCAGTTTTCAAGCTAGCACAGTTTCCCAGAAACACCCACGTGTTTTCATTTGAACGATGGATTCATGTTTTTCATCTGGGGCATCTCCACAGCTCTATCTTTCTATTTCCCATGAAACAGAAATGAGATGAGGAAGCCATTTATATCCCTTCCCCCCACCCCTTACACCAACACACACTGATCAGGTGGAGGATCCTGAGACCTGCGACACAGGGAACGGGAATGATGATGGGGACGATTATTACCACAGGCGATGGAGGGAGAAACTCTTGGGGTGTTTCCTTTATCAGTTATAGAGGACTGATATAAATAAAATATATAGGACTGATATATATATATAAAAGTAATATATCTGTATAAATAGTCAAAAGTTTCAATTTAGAAAATTATAAAATCTTATGACTTAAAGCTACCTGGTACCATTTTGATGTTCATCTTCCCAATATTTTTCCATATTTATTCATACTTTGTAAACATCTGAATCTCTTGGAGAGTGGGCCACCTTTGTCCCTTCCACATGTCACAGGTCCTTTCTAAGTCTAGACATATTCTTCTTTCCAGAACTTAAAAGGGAGGCACGGTCCCCAGCAGGATTGCAGACCATCGTTGAATTAACTAATTCCCTGCTGCTGGACATTGGTGCCGACGGAACAATGCTTTTACAAACCTCACGTTTCTAATGCCAGATCTTTGTGCCCATCCATGACTCCAGCCTTCCAGGGAGAGCTTTATGCTCACTCTCAAGGTGACAGCCACAGTTATCTCTCTTTCTGCCCTGGATTCCCATGTAAAGTTCACTCAGATCATTTTGACCTTGGTTTTGAAAAGAAGATATTCGTGAACTAACAACATGGAATAAGGAGAGAAGTGTGAAAGAGGTGGGGTCAGGCCACCTGTTGGAAACTCAAGGTAAATAAATACATTTGGGGAAAACCAAAAGGCTGCAAGGTGATGGGCTTGTGGCCTCTTATGGGAGGTGGCTCATAAAGCAAACCTGTCTTAGGCTACTCAGGGCCTTCTTAATGGGAAGTTTCTAGTCAACTTGACACAAGTTAGAGCCATCTGGAAAGAGAGAACCTCAATTGCAAACAATGCCTCTACTAGGTTGACCTGTCAGCAAGTCTGTGGGACAATTTCTGGACTGATGATGAATTTGAGTAGACACAGCTCACGTAGTTGGTATCACGCCTACACATGTGGCCATGTGTTGTGTAGGAATGCAAACCAAGCAGGCCTGCAAACAGTGTTCACCCACAGCCTCTGCTTCGGTTCCTGCCTTCAGGTTCCCTCAGGGATAGGCTGCGATCCATGTACGCCAAGCAAATCCTTCCCTCCCCCAAGTTTCTTTGGGCCATGGTGCTTATTATAGTAATAGAAAGCAAATTAGGACCAAATTGGACCACTAAAAGTTTCCTCCCTTTCGGTACCACTGCCTTTTAGTCTTAGCTAATGCAAATTCAGGGCGACATGAGGACCCAAGTGGGTAATATACGAGGCCTATGAGATCAAAGGGATCTAGAATGGTGCTGTCTTGGAGCAAAATTTTCAGGTGATGGTCAATTTAAATTTGTCAACGTGCCAGACCTAGAATAACCTGAGAGAGCAGTCTCGATGCAGGGCTGTCTGGTCAAGCCGGCCTTTGGGCATGGCTGTGAGGAACTGTCTTGATTATGTTATTTGAAGTGGGGACAGCCCCTCGGTGTCACTGTCCCATGGATTTTGGGTCCTTGACAGCACACAGATGGGAAGATGGGAGAGGCACACATCAGCATGTAGGCGCTCATTCCCTCCCTACTCTCAACTACGGAGGTGGCCAGCTGCTTCGGGTTCCTGCTGCCCCGGCCACTGACAACAATGACTATAACCCAGACCCGTAAACGGAAGATACCCCTTTTCCCCTAAAGTTGCTTGTGTCGGGGTGCTTTATTATCGCAACAGGAATCGAACGTGGGACACTGATAAGCAAACATCATAGAAAAAGAAAAGGGACGGACTCAGGAATGGGGACAGTTTCAGCAACTCTCACTTACCTGGTTATACACATCTAGTTCATTATGGAGGGGAAAAAGAGACAATACATACCCAACAAACGAAGAAGGAGAAAAAGAACTCCCAACGCGTAAGACTTGAGTTCAGGGCTGACTGTCCTACGTAGAAAAGAGATGGAGGGGAGAAAAAGATTCTTATCACTCCATTTTAATTAACAGACCCAGAGCTATTTGTTGCTGTCCATTAGATCCTCCCTTAGAAAATGACTAATAGGTTTTCTTCTCTTTTTTTTTTCTTGCCCAAAGTCTAAAAATTGACTGCAACTGTGGGGCCAAGATAAGTTTGGAAATTAGGTGAGTTTTTTTTTCTATCTTAAATAGCTTGGCCTTGAAGGGCTGGATGAGGTCTATACTTAGAGCTGTATCCTTTTGTTCCAGGGAAGAATCACCATGGGTGGGTAGGGAATGTGCAATGTGGGGCACCAGCTCAGCAAATTTTCAAAGAGCAGCTGGAACCGTGAACACCTTCGCTGTTCTTGGGCCAGTTTGTAAGGCCCACCAGGTCTGCATGCATTGGCATCCCGGGTGGGACAGCAGGGACGCAGGTGTGTGTAGCGAGTTTTAGTGCCTTGTAATCTTGAGCGGATCCTCCCACTGGCCACCAGACTCTGCTTTGAGCTGACTCAATCATCCTGACCTGGGTTGGGCCATGTATTGTCGCTAAGAATGATCTCACATGCTCTCCAGACTGTAACGTTTTTGAAAATGGAGTAACTGTGGAGCCAGTTTAAGAGTGATGTCAGATTTTAGGCAGGTTATATTATCCACACAGGGGATAATGCCTCTTACGCTTACAGCCAGGATTTATTCAGCGCTTGCCTTCCCTCCTCAAGGCTAAGAACAACTTGCCTTGTGGTGACCTTTGTGATCTCAGCCATACTCACTTAGCTCTAGCACCCAGCCTGTGCTGAGGGAATGCATATGTGGGAAACAAGCTGGGTAGATGTCTCTGACCTACCACCCAGGGAACCTCTACCTGTGGCTTTGTGGTGAAGGACTCCGAGGGAAAGAGATTGGACAAGATGGGCGGGCTTTGGGTTAAGCAGAGTGTCACCTCTTATCTCTGTCACCACTGTGTCTCCTTAGGGGAGAAAGGGATGTATATGACTACACCTCTTGACAGACTTGACCAGGCATGGAGCCAGTCATTATGGCTGAATCTTACATGTGCTGGAGCATTTTAGTACAACTGGAGGACTAGAGACCAGAGCCACACGGTGAAATGAGTCTGTGGGAGTAGGTCCGGTATAAAATAAAGGGTAGGAGCAGAATTACTCATGGAGTATCTGGTAAAACAGGTACATATTATTGTCTATTGTCTGGGTGGAGAGAGAGAGACACACACACACACACACACACACAGAGAGAGAGAGAGAGAGAGAGAGAGAGAGAGAGAGAGAGAGAGAGAATCAGAAGTCAATGTCAGATGTTTTCCTCAGTCCTACTCTTTTCTTGTTTTTTTGAGCCAGGGTCTTTTACTGAACCTAAGTTCCAAGGACTTGCTCATCCTAGCATTAGGGTTCCATCAGGGTCATTGTGTCTGGTATTTATATGGGTGCTGGGAATATAGACTCAGGTTCTGGCACTTATGTGACAGACACTTAACTGGCTGAGTAATGTTCCCAGGCCTAGAATAATATTCCTAAATGATCCCAAGGTCATTTATCCAGCAAACCATTGACAGTCATCCAGTGATCGGTGACTTAAGTTGAGCCTTGGTGTGCGTGCTTCCGGCTTTTTGTTATAACAGGTCAAAAGTGGCCATACAACCAAAAGAAATTGCATATATGTTATAGACGGACATTTTGTCATCCCCAAATTCTTCCATTCAAGCCTAACCCCTAAAGTGATAGTGGGACCTTTGAGAGGTGCTTAAATCCTCAGGGTGGGGCCTGCAAAAATGTATTAATGCCCGTCTGGGGACAAATGTCTAAGAGAGATCCTTTGTCTTTTCACTACCTTGGGACACAAAGAGAATCTGTCATCTCTGTACCGGAAGTGGCCCTCACCAGTTAACCTAGCCTTGTTCTGCAACGTCCTAGTCTCCTAGTCTTCATTCCGGTGAGAAACAAATTCCTATTGTTTATAAACTACCGTGTCTATGGTATTTTGTCATAGAAGTCTGCAAAAGACTATGCAACAGTAGCTTTTATAATGTTTGTCAGATTCTAAGATTTCCAGTAAAACCCACAGGTGCTATTCTTGGGGAAATGCAACACATCCCTTTAATTATGGAGACTGTGGTCCAGATGCGTGACCTTAGTGCAGCATGTTCTGACCTCCACTCCGTCATCGGCTCAGGACTCTGGCTGACAAGCCAGACACCAGTTCCAGGTCATGAGATCTGCATCTCTGGGCAGAACTATTGCTCTTTGGAAGACATGCATAACAAAACCCAAGTCCCTCATGTTGTTCCTGCTCCATGGCTACAGTTTTGGCACTTTCCTTTGAAGGTTTAACTTGAAAGACACATAAATAAAGACAGATCTCCTTATCAAGAAAACATGCTGATGTAATGAGCTAGGGTATTTATCACTTGCAATGTGATTTCCTTTCAGCTGGCATGTCACCGGGAACAAAGTGAGGAAGGTGCTAAGATCTTTCTTCATATCCTGTGGAGAGGCTGGTTCCTCTAAGAACCACGGATCTTAGTTAGGAAGAAATGGAGGGCTCAGGCAAGATGTTACTGAAAGATCCAGGAAAGATCAGGGATGCAGGCTTAGCATCATTAACATACTGGCTGTGAGACCCTGAGAGTACTGTGTGGTCACTTGTTGGACCAGTTTCTTCATGGGTAAAACAGGAATATTTACAAGAGTGCAAATACAGCAATTTAATATAACAGCCCAGAGAAGTGACTTAACATCAGCCCAGTGACCGTCCAGTTTCTGGCTTCCTTCTTAGCATTCTTTTTAAATATGCTGTGTGTATATGTGTGTGCATGCATGTATGCATACGTGTGTGTGTGTGTGTGTGTGTGTGTGTGTGTGTGTGTGTGCATGTGCTCATACAAGTGCAGGTTTGCATATATAGAGGCCAGAAAACAACTTCAGGAGACATTCTTATGAATGGCATCCATCTTCTTAGAGGCAAGGACTCTCAGGTGCAGGAAGTGTATCAGTTAGGGTAGGCTGGCGGGCCAGGGAACCCTAGGGATCGTCCTGTCTTCCACTTCCCCACTGCTGGACAAGTATGCCTCACCATGCTTGATATTTTTACATGGGTTCTGGCAAATGAACTGGGGTCTTCACACTTGTAAAGTCAGCGCTTTGCCAAGTGAGCCCCCTCCCCAGTCTCACTTCCCCCATTGTCCCTGTTGACAATGCCTGGCCAGCATAAGAACGAGTCCACAGCTTTGGGTCAGGCAAGGACTGGTAATTATCTGCTGTGGTCAGCCTGCATGGGGCAGCCTTATTCCTGCCTAGAATTTCAGTGACAGCAAGCTAGACTAAAGCGATGGAAGGATGCACAGGATCCCTTCTCACTAGGAACGTGAACATGTGCCTATAGCTAACAAGGGGTTCATAGATCTACGTGGTCAGCACGGGTCATTGAGATCATCAGCTCTTGCTCCATCTAAAAAGAACCCAGCATTGCCTGAAAAGCTGCAAGGCCTGTTTATTGAGTGGAGGCTTGGAAACAGCTGAAATTTCCATGGTGAAAATTTTACCACCTAGAATCTAGGCCGGGCCTTCGTGGGAACTCATGGTGAGGGAAAGGAGTGGAGCGGCCACGACTCAGGGTGGCGAGGGTCCCTCTTCCCATTTCTGGTGCCGTCTGTGTGTGAGTACTGCAATACGGTTTCAGGAGAATTTCTAATGAAAAATAAACTGCTCATAATACAGTCAGCATAAACTCATACATGAAACCTGATGGGGTTTGTTCATATGCATATTATATATAATCGCCTTCCACGGACATACAGTTTTAAATTCAATGGCTCATTTCATAAACACTTCTCCCAGCCTTAAGATTTTTCATTATTCCTTGAACTGCGGTTCCATAATTTAACTCACTGCTTCAATTCAGGTGTTTCTGCCATTATAGTTAACGTTGTAATAAAAAATCTGTCTGTATTGAGCTTTTTTTTCTCTTGTAGAGAGGTATTTCCTTGAGATAAATGGCCAGGAATGGGGGTAGGTTACTGTAAGGGCCTGAATATTTTTATGGCTCTTGACTTACACTGGCATATTGCATTTTTTGAGCGGACTGATAGGCTTTTCAATGCCACTAACAAAAAGTGATTTGACTTACTTGACCACAGCCCTCCAAAGCACCGAGATGAATTTGTCGAACTTCCTAAGTGTAAGATGCCAATTTGCTATTGTACCTTTAATGCCTCTGCATATTTGTAAGACATTGCTAACGACCATCTGGGTGGTGCATGGGCTACCTATAAATCTACTTTCAGGAGAGTTGCCAGCAAGACCAGAGAATGTGGCAGGGAGGGCTCAGGGAACGGGAGAGCTGGGTAAAGCTGTTGGTATCATGGTGCAAGAAATTCAAGTGGCTCCAAGCTTCCCATTTCCATCCCCAGACCTTGGCCTTGAACTGCCTTGCCTATGTTTCTAATGAGGTGAGCCTTTCTGTGGGGTATGTGCTTTCTTCTGGCTCAGATGGACATTAGGGTCTGGGTCAGTGTTCTTCCGGGTACCTTGTTCAAATCCAGATAGCAATAGCATTGTAACTGATGGAACTTGCTGGGAATATTGCTCGGTGATTTACGTTGGAGGCACTTCATCTGTCTCTAGGCAGGCTTCCCAGACCCAGGGGGCTACAGAATCCTGGCTGTCTCACTGCAACCACTTATGCATACAAGAGCGGTCACCATCTGCACGTGGTGGGCCTCTTGGCATGGGCAACCTCTCGTGTCTCCAGAGTGGTCTGCACACATGACCTGGATGAGTCCAGATTATGGCAGAAAGCAGGCAGAACAGTGCTGCGATCTATAACAGACTCAGAAACAGATCTGGGGGAGGGGGTGATGTGTTCGAGGCATATGGCCAGTTGACACAGAAGGACAAGGTTAAGACATAAGGATTTGGTCAGTCTAATGTCATTTTCAAATCTCTGTGTGTGTGTGTGGATGTCCATGTGGGTGTGTGTATGTATGTATATATTTATGTATGTATGTATGTATGTATGTATGTCAGAGGACAAGCTTGAATGTTGTTCCTTGGGAGCTTTTCATTGCACTGGCCTAAAACTTCCTTGAGCAGGCTAGACTAACTGTCCTGCAAGCTTCCAGGGATCCACCAGTTTCTACCTCCCACCTCTCTATCATGGTGATAACGAGCACGTTCTACTACATCTAGGTTTTATAGGGGTTCTAGGGAGTGAACCCGGGCCCATGCTTGTGAAGTAGGTGCCACTGCCAACTGAGCCATCTCCCCAGCCCATGGTCTTCAATGTACTTCACCAACAATGCCTGCCGAAAACATCAGTGTGCAATGCTTTTCAGATTCGCCTTCAAATGCCTTCCTTCCGAATCTAATGAGGTGAGCCTTTAACTCTCAGGTTATTCCTGGGAGGCCATGAAAGTGGCCTTCTCCTGCTGTCCTGTTGGGCTATGAAGTCCCAACTGATGGATGGCTCCTCATTGATTCCTCTTAGCCTAGAGCAGCTGTGTTCCTGGCTGCAGCCCCCTCCCCCCCATATCTCGCCTTGCTTTCAGGACTCGCATGGCTCTGGCCTGCAGGAGCCCTGCAGATGTGTGCCAGGTGGAAGGGCATAGACCAGGCTGACTCCCAAGTTCTTGGGACTCAGTGGGCAGCTTACCTGATGAGGATGATGACGGAGGGTGTTTGGGCCATGGCCCCGATCAGGCTGCACACACACATCACACAGAGGAAGGTGAGGAAGGCCTCTTGGCACCCAGGACTGGGGCATTTTCCTGGCACCACGGTGGCATTCTCAGGGGGAACGGTGGTGAGGCATGCACAGCCTGTGAGGTTCTGGAAGGGAAGGTTCAGCCGTTTAAACTGGGAGTGTCTCTGGTTTCCACACCCAAGGCAATCCATCAGCTAAGCTGTCACGGCCTAATTATACATTCTATGACATTCCATTAATTGGGCCTGAATAAGCGAGGTAGCTTTTTAAGGAATCTGCAAAAACACATGCAAATAAAGTAATATTTATGGGGAGGAGAGCTGGTTTTCCTGTCTCCTGTGTATTTCATTCCCATTCTTAAGAAACCTTCAGTAAGCTGCGCTGTAGATAAATGTGTCCCCCCCAATACAATTAGAGAGGAAATTGTGCTTCTACAATATGATAAAACATTGCCAAATTAACATCGTAATTACTTGCCAATTTGTCTTCCCTTTATGCAGTTATAATTACACCGAAGTGTATTAAAAGAAGGAAATCAGGTAACCCACATATTGTTGCTGGTTCAGTGCCTGGCATGGTACTCGGAACAAAGGATGCACACTGTCATGCATGAAGCCATTGTGCCTGGGAGACCCTGATGGGAGGAAGCTGATGGAACACTTGCCCAGTGGCTGAGGAAGCCGAGGGCGCTAAGGGATTCCAGGCAGCTGACAGTAGCAAACAGGAAGCATAGCAAGAGTCTGGTGGGATACATTTATTAATATATGATCAGAGAGAAAGAAAAGCGACCAGGTTCCATTTGATCTTCCAAGGGGCTCTGGATCAGCAGCCCCTGTTCCCAAGTAAGGTTTGCTCTCACACTCTCCTGCAAGCTTGCCAGCTCGCTCCAGGAATTTCTGATGGCAGAGGGAGGAGCAGGGGCTGGAGGAGGCTGTTCAGAGTGCCAAGCCAATTAAGGTTCGATAATAATAGTGCAGAGGCCTTTAATGAATACAAAGCGAAAACAATCATCAGTGATTCATGGCTTTCCTTTCCAGAGGCGAATGGCTTTCTGAGCGCATGCCCAGCAGGTAAACACTCCTGAGGGGTCAGGCAAACTAAGCCTATGATTCTCTTCTGCTCTTCTCCCTTCTTCTCCTTTTCCTGCTCCCCCTTTCTTTTGCCACAGGATATATTACAGATATGGGGTACTTGTCCAATATGAGATAGCTTCAGGGGGTGTCCAAAACCCACTAAGTTTACCCCCACTATGGCCACCCTGCATGGCTGTGTGGAGCAGATGGTACTGGTTGGCCATACCTCTTCTAAATGGTGTGCCCAGGGCAGGCATCTGTGTAAATGGTACTCTTATATACCTGGGCGTTTATGGCAATTCCCAGGTGCTGAGGTCTGACAACCCCTGCTTCTTGTCTTATACCTGGAGACTTTACCTGGCTTTCCCACATCTAACATAAACACCACACCCCTTTTCTAGCACCCCTACAGCTGAGAAGCTCCCCTTCTCCCCTCCTGGACCCCCTTGAGCTCTGACCTGAACCTGCCCTACAGTGGATATGAGAACTGTCTGTCAGGAGAGTCCTGGGACAAGACTGTGTTCGATGCACTTTCCTGAGCATTTATTTCCTCGCACAGTGCTGCCCGGTGCTAGATGAGACCTAGAAAACCGTTTCAGAATGCACAGGTCGACCGCTTAGCCCCTGCCGTTTCTAGGAGCAGGACTCCCCCCGCCCCAGCTGAAGCTCACCATGTCATCCCATCCTCCACAGAGAAAAGAGTATGTGACGTCACCACCGAGGTCACAGGCAAACCTCTCCAGCTGTTGATACCTCTCCACTCTCATCTCATTCTAACCAGCTTCTCTCTCCGCTCTTGTGAAAGGGAGATCTCATAAAGTTCCCCTGTGGCATCCTTTCTCCTCTCTGGGCAGCTCCGTTTGCTCCCTGTCTCCCAGGCCTCCATTCCTTGGGTTCCCGTTTGCTTTTTTTAGGCTACGCCTTGTCTATCTTTCTTGGCAGTGCCCCCCTACCCCTTCCCATGCTAACATGCAGGGACAACTCAGGGCTACATTTTCCTATTGGTTCATGATTTCCCTCACCTTCATCTCTAGTCCACATCTCCCTTGGATATGTGATATGTCCTTTCCTGACACACGTTATCAATCTGAACATATGTTGCCTACTTGGCATACTTGCCCTTGGAAGACTGGGAGCTTCTCACAGAGGTCCATCTCTAGCATGGTTTAGAGTTGGGCGGGAAAACACAGTATGATGCAGAAGCCAGGAGCCATGGAGACCAGATCACACTACCCTAAAATATGCCTCTTTGGCACAAGGATTATTTTGAGCTGGCCATGTGAAGACATTTACAGACACAGGAGAATGTGGGACAACACAGAAGCCACCAGTTTCTGAGGAGAAATTTTCAGTCAGTGGTTTCCTCATATCCAAGAATATTGAGCTCCAGGATACCATACACATACTAGACTCTAGAGATGGCCGAGTCCCGGATAGAAGATGGTATAAATCCTATATGCCTCCTTCTGCATGCATAAACCATATTTAGACAACTTTATATCTAATACAATGCAGCACTATGGACACACTCATACTGTATTGCTTAGGGACTATGATAGAACAGATTCTGTATAAGTTTGGTACAGATACAATTCCCCCTGATTATCTGCAGTTCACTGAAGCCACAGTGATGAAAGTTATGTGTACAAGGTCCTATCGCATAAAGGAAATACTGTGCTTATACTTAATGAGACATGAAGTCTTGCTTCATTTCTCAGACTGGCTTCAGATTTCTGAGCTCAAATGACCCTTTGGTCTTAGTCTCATGAGTAGCCAGGCTACAGGCACACACCACTGCCCTGGCTCAGAAATCTCTTTCTGTACTAGGAAGAGGAGCAATGGAGAAAGTGCTAACTAGATCCATAGAAGAAACCCTGTGCTGAGCCTCACTTCCCCATCGCCAGCCTTCCCATTCCCTTCCCTGGTCACTTCCCCATCGCCAACCTTCCCATCCCCTTCCCTGGTCACTTCCCCATCGCCAGCCTTCCCATCCCCTTCCCTGGTCACTTCCCCATCGCCAGCCTTCCTATCCCCTTCCCTGGTCATTTCCCCATTGCCAACCTTCCCTGGTCACTTCCCCATCGCCAGCCTTCCCATCCCCTCCCCTGGTCACTTCCCCATTGCCAGCCTTCCCATCCCCTTCTTTTCTGAAGTCTGGATTCAAAGCTGCCTGTGTGTGAGTCATTCATTTCCCTGGGTACCTCCCATGTAACTGAAGGCATATGGTGTGAATATCCCTCCCTTTTCTGTTCTTGCTAATATGTCTCTCGTTAGAGGCATCCATCCCAGCTAGGAACCACAAAGGGCAGAGAGAACAATAACTTCTCTTCCCCTGCGAATTAAGAAGAAGCCACCACCCTCAGAAGGTAATTGGTTAGAAGCAGGACTGGACACAAGTGCCCTGGTACCCTGCTGTCCAGCAGCACTTCCATGCTGCCCCTTGTGACTTGACTCCTCAAGCCTCTCTCCGGGTCCTCCCTTCTGGTCCTGCAGCAGAGCAAGCTCAGGGGTGTGGCTTATGGATACAGCAATCAGCTCTAATTCTCCACGGAGACAGTACATTTCTCCACCGCCTCACTCTTTCCAGAGCTTCACCCCTCATCTCTCCTACTCAGACAGTTCCGATTTCTCCGTTCATCCCTCCTTCTTCCAAACACTGTACGGGCTGTTTTCCTGATCAGTTCCTGATGAGACTTCCTAGTCCCCAATTCCTTGGCTTTCCCATCTCTTATCTTAGTAACAATGGTCATCTCCCTAGGAACCAGGTGATAATTCTGATGCCACCTAACCTCACATCAAACTCTCTTCCTCCTGACTCTAAGGCTAACGAAGGGAGGCCACTGTAGTTTTGTTACCTAATTTACTCTCATTTGTACTAGACGGTTTGGTTCACACACCCCTAAAAATGTTTGAATGCATACGTAAGTCCTGATATCTTTCATATCTCTAAAGGACATAAACCCTGACCCAGGTCCAATTACTCTCATCTCTCTCTTTGATTGATGTAGTAGCTTGGCTAGGAAAACATCTGTGACTGGGGCCTCAGACTCATGAGGACTTAGAAAAACCAAGGATAAATGGGGACAGTTCCTCTTGGGTTGTCTGACTGAATGCCACATGGACTCAATGGTGGCTTGTATGGTTTCTCAAGAAACACAGAGAGATGTTGGAGTGTCACAACTCAGCGACCAAGCCAGAACTCCATGAGATAAGACACGTGGCCTTTGTTTGGCTTGTCAATCATTTGTCTGGGTATCTGTGTCTATCTTTAGTTTGGACCTATACCTAAGCTATAACCCACTGTATTAAATTTGCCAAAAAATGAGATTACTGGAGAGATAGCTAAGTTGGTAAAGTACTTGGTGCTCAAACATGACGACCTAGATTATATATATATATATGTGTGTGTGTGTGTGTATGCATACACACACATATTTAAAATGTGTAGGTAAGTGTTTTCCCTCCATGTATGTATGTGTATCGTGTGTGCACAGTGCCCATGGAGGCCAGAGCTGGAGTTACAGGTGGATACGAACCATTGTATGGGTGCCAGGAACTGAACTTCAGTCTTCTCCAAGAGCAACAAGTGCTCCTAACCTCTGAGTCATCTCTCCAACTCCAGGGACCTGGGTTTGTTTTTCAGCACCAATGTATGAAGCTGGTGGCACAAATCTGTAATGCCAGCACTGTGGTGACAGACCAGGTGGGTCCCTAGGGCCGCTGGGCTAGCCAGCGGGCTGAATTGGCAAATTCTAGATCCTAGTGGGAGATCTCCAAGTGTTTCTACGGCAATAAAATGAGTGAGACGTGATGGCAGAGCTCCTTGTAGGTGTAGACAAGCTAACTACCTGTCCAGCTGACATTCCATGAGCAAAGCAAGACAGCAGGGCTGCCAGATGCTATGCAGTTTGTCTCAAAGGCAAGGTGGAACAGAGACAGGCGGGGCACAGAGATAAGGTGGGGTGGGGAACAAGCAGATCTAGCCAAGAACAAATGTGAAAATGTGTGTCCTCTCTATATTTGTGCGGTCAAACCTAATCACTTAGGAGGGT